ACACACTACTAAGCCAGTAGGAATAGAAGTTCTGTGTAATCACTCTGGGGAAACAACTAAGCAAATATATAACACTCTAACCTGGCAATATCTTTACTAGGTTGATAGTCAACGTGTGTGTGTGTGTGTGTGTGTGTGTGTGTATGTGCGTGCAGGTGTGTTACTGCCATTAGAAAAAAAAGCAAAAGGTGCATGTGTTTCTTAGTGCAGGTAATTCTTTGCTTGCTTCAAGTGTTTCTTACACTGGCTTTGTCATTACAGTAATTCATAAAGCTGTGTACACTTACAACGACTGCCCTTTATAGTATGCATCATGTTCCCGGGATTTAAAAGAGAAATCAGTAGGAACAGGAACAAAGAGGAGAGAAAAAAATCACTAGTGTGAAACAAAGTCAGAAGTGTCCATCCAGGAACTGGAAAACTACTTATTACAGGTAGTGATTAGCGAAGCAAGAGCTGATATTTGGGCAAAATTCCCAACACTGCACTCATTTGACCTTTATAAACCTAGTAAATGTGTGATGACTTTAGGGTATCTGAAACACTCCTTGGCTTGCACAGACCTGAGATAAAGAATGGGTGCCCAAGCCTGAAAATTATGTCAAATCATCAACTAAAAATATTCCACAATTTGCCCTTTCCTCTATGTGCTATTTGATGAGCTTACATTACTTTTGGGGAAAACTGCACACAGCATCACACAAACCACATGTAAGCTTTAAAAAACAAAATCATGAGATCTCATTCTCAATTTTCACAAAAAGTATACATATTGTAAGATGAAATGTCTTCCTCACAAGCCCCAGATCTATAAATTCTTTTTTTTTTTTTTTGGTGTATCAAGGTTCAAATATTAGCTTGCTCACAAACACACTTTGTTCTTGAGTAAATTTCTTAATCTATGCTTCAGCTTCCACATCTGGGAAATAAGGATGATGTCACTAGTACCCATATCAGAAGAGTGTCATGAGAATTAATTAAGGAAGACTAAAGGTTAGAAGGCTATAAACAAAAGGAGCGATTCCTGGCACAAAGACAACACTGAGAAGTGACACTGCATTGGTGGACATCCAGCTACCAGAAAGTTTAGAGTTAACATCGAGAGATATCTGATAACCCTATAATCTAGGCGGTTATTTTCCTAGTTGGTTCAACACCATTTTTTAAAATGTTTTCTCTCCTATTTGTGTTAAGGATTGCTGTTTCTTGGGTTGTGGTTGGCTAATTCCTTCCTAGTTCTGCTTTACTTTAGACATCTTCCCTCCCAGACAGTGTGCCTGATTCCTTTAAGTATCCAATGTTAGGTCATAGTCTTGAATTGATTTAGTTTGTGCTTACAGTGGGATGTCTTTGTTTCTCCTTAAGTTTTAAAAGATAGTGTTACTTCGTAAAGTCATTTTGGTTGGCAATCACTTACTCTCTTAGACTGGAATATATCATTCTGTACTTTTCTGGCTTTCAGTTTCTGCAGACAGGTCTTTGCTATTCTTATATATTTGCTTTTGGAAATGAGTTGGTATTGATTTCCATGCCTCATTCATCTGCCTGTTACATCCTCTTTGATACTATTGATTAGTTTTACAAGGCAATTATTGAGTCCTTTGCCCAGCACTCGAATCATTTCAGAATTTTTGAGTTAATTTTGAATTCCATTTATGAAGAGTCTAGGATCTTTTGTAGGAATCACATTGTCTGGCTTTTTCATTTTACTTATGATTTGTGCTACTCTTTATATATCTGTTAATATAATGGTTACTCAATTGGGATCTTTTCTTGAAGGATCAACCCAAGAATCACTCACATAAAAAACTGCTATCATAGTAGGAACACACCAACCAAATATAAATATACACTTATAGTTAAAGCCAACTACTATACCATCCACAATCATAGAAATAAATATGGCAAAAAATGGCACAGATGAAGCCATGAAGGCAAATAGTAACTGGGATAAAAGTAAAGAAAAGTAAATTAAGGGGCAGAAAAAAATGGGGAACAGGAGAATATGTATTATTTATACATGAATACATAGTTATATATTATAAAAATCTTTATAAACCATATAAAGAATATGACTAAGTAAAAATTAAATTAAATTAAAGAATGAAAAATATTAGTAAAAGAGGAAAAACAAAATATTCTAAAATCTATATAATAACTGAACCTAATAAAAGAAAAAGTGGGTAATATCTTTGAATGCTTTGGCATGGGAAACAACTTCCTGAACAGAACACCAATAGCACAGGTACTAAGATGGACAATAAATGGGATTTCATAAAACCAAAAAGCTTCTGTAATGCCAAGGATACCATCATTCATGCAAGGTAGCAGCCTACAAAATGGGAAAGTTTTTAGCAACTCCATATCTGATAATATCAAAAATATATATAAATAAATCAAGAAACTAAATACCAAAACACCAAATAATCCAATTAAAAATGGGATACAGACCTAAATATAGAATCCTCAATAGAGGAATCTCAAATGGCTTAGAAACATTTAAAGAAATGTTCAACATCCTTAGCCATCAGGGAAATGCAAATCAAAACTACTTTGAGATTCCATCTTACACCTGTCAGAATGGCTGAGAGCAATAACACAAGTGACAGCTCATGCTGGTGAGGATGCAAAGCAAGGGAAACACTCCTCCACTGCTAGTGAGAGTGAAAACATGCACAGCTACTATGGAAATCAGTATGGCATTTCCTCAGAATTTTGGGATTTAATTTATCTCAAGATCCAGCTTTACCCTTTGACACATACCTACTCTTAGGCATCTACCCCATACCACCACAAAGACACTTGCTCAACTATGTTCATTGCAGCTTTATTCACAATAGCCAGAAACTGACAACAACCAAGATGTACCTCAACACAAGAAATGAAGAAAGAGAAAATGTGGCTAATTTACACAATAGAGTATTTCTCAGCTGCCAAAAAATTAAATTTGCAGGCAAATAAATGGAATCAGAAAAAAATCATACTAAGTGAGGTAACCCAGACTCAGAAAGATAAATTATGTATTCACTTATATGTGGATACTAGCCATTAAGTGAATGATAACAAAACTACCATCCATAGACACAGAAAGGTTAGGTACAGAGGAAGGGGGAGGGAGGCACATGGATATCTTTGGGAAAAGGAAATAGATTTTATGGGAGGACTACGGATGCAAACGGGAGGATCATGGAGGGCGGGGAGATACAGTAAAGAGAGAGAATGCACGAAGAGACATCTGGAACTGAGGAGCATTTGAGGAATGCTCTAGAAACCCAATGCAGTGGAAACTTCCTGAAATGCACAAAGGTAATCCTAATGAGGTCTCCTAATAATAGGGGATACAGAGTCTCAACTAGCTAAACAGGGCTTCCAGAACAAAAATCCCCAAACAACCCAGGCTGTTGCTAAGACAATATAGGTTGCTCTCTGCAAACTGACAGCAGGGCCCCATTGCTGAGGACAACACCCACTGTGAGACCCATCAGAGTACTGGACCTACTTGTACCCATCAGGAGAGGAAGAGGCCCCTCCTGCACCCCCTGGAACAAGGGATGGGAAGACGACAATATAAGAACACATTCAAACCCACAGAAACAGCTGGCCTGAACAAGGGGGAGCACATCGACCCTAGATGCTGTCTGGGAGGCCAGCAGGAGACTGATCCAGACCCCTGAACATGGATGTCAATGAGGAGGCCTCTGCACTCTAGGGGACCCCTGATAGTGGATTAGTATTTTTCCCTGGTGTAAGAAGGTACTTTGAGAGCCCATCCCACATCTCCTCCTGGACACATGGGGGAGGGCCTAGGCCCAGCCCAGGATGATGTGGAACACATTCAACAACAGAAAAACAGATATGACACAACCAGAGTCTAGGGACTCTACGCAAGACCTGAACATCCCAACAGATGAAACAGAAGAGAACAACCTTAAAAACAACTTCGTGGGCCAGTCGTTGGTGGCACACACCTTTAATCCCAGCACTCGGGAGGCAGAGGCAGGCGGATCTCTGTGAGTTCGAGACCAGCCTGGTCTACAAGAGCTAGTTCCAGGACAGTCTCCAAAGCCACAGAGAAACCCTGTCTTGGAAAAAAAAACCTTCATGGAGGGAGCTAGAAGAATGAGAAGGGGAGAAGAGGAGGGGTGAGGAGGACATGAGGGAGCAGAAAGGTTGAGGGGGGAAGAATAGAAGATAACAAGAATGGAGATAACCATAATAGAGGGAGACATTTTAGGTTTACAGAGAAATCAGGCACTAGGGAAAGGTCTGGAGATCTACAAAGATGACACCAACTAACAATCTAAGCAACAGTGGAGAGGCTACCTTAAATGCCCTCCCCTGATAATGAGATTGATGACTAACTTATATGTTACCCGATAGCCCTTATCCAGCAGCTGGTGGAAGGAGAAGCAGACACCCACAACTAACCACTGAAC